GTCGATTTTATTTTGTTTTATTTCACTCCATATTTTCCCTTTATTTAATTTTGCTGTTAATTTTATTTTGTTTTATTTCACTCCGTTTGATTTCATTTCATTTAATTTCATTTCATTTATTTTGCTTCATTTATTAAATTGCATTGCATTTATTTTATATTATTTCATTGTCTCTTATTTTTCCCATTCCCACCCCAATTCCAGCCCCTGGGATGGCTCAGGGACCAATTTCTTCCCAAACCGTTGGTTTTGAGTTGGATTTGGATTGGATTTGACTGAATTTGGTTGGATTTTGGTGGGATTTGGGTGGAATTTAGTCAGATTTGAGCTGGATTTGGGTTGGATTTGGGTGGGATTTGGGTGGATTTGATTGGATTTGGGTGGGATTTAGTTGGATTTGGGTGGAATTTGATTGGAATTGGGTTGGATTTGGTTGGATTTGGTTGAATTAGGGTGGGTTTTAGGTGAGATTTGGTTGGATTTGAGTTGCTTTTGGGTTGAATTTGGAGGGATTTGACTGGGTTTGGGTGGATTAGGGTAGGATTTGGTTGAACTTTGGTGGGATTTGGTTGAACTTTGGTGGGATTTGGTTGAACTTTGGTGGGATTTGGTTGGATTTGGTTGGATTTGAGTCAGCTTGAGTTGGATTTGGGTTGGATTTGGGTTGGATTTGGGTTGGATTTGGGTGGGATTTGGTTGGATTTGGGTGGGAATTGGATGGATTTGGTTGAATTTGGTTGGATTCTGGCAGGAAACAGCTGCTTTTTGGGAGAAAACCCAGCAGTTTTGTGTCCCGGCAAGCCCAACCCGTGTTGTCCTGGAGGGACTGGGAGCTCCTGCACTCCCATCCCGCATCTTCCATGGGATCTCCAAGGGAAAACGTGGGAGATGGCACCTGGTGGCAGCAGCAGCACTTGGAATTTGGGGTTAAAAGGCCTCGTGGAGCTCCTGATCCTGCTCCAACCCCCTCCTGGGGGTCCTGTGTCCTTCTGCCCCCCCTGTCCTGCCCCCGAGGGACGAAGGACCCACAGGCCCCAAGGACAATTCCCAGGATGTAGGAGGAGGAACCTCCCCCTCCTGGATCCCTGGGAACCCCCTGCCGTGGGTTGTTGGATCAGGTTCATCCCCCACTTTGGGAAGCAACTCTTCCATGGGGGAATTCCATCCCGAATGCCAAAACCGGAGCAGAATGAACCCATTTCCCCCACAGGGGCTTCCCAACACTTCAGGAACCCACTCCCCATCCCGGAGAAGGACCTGGGATAACTTTGCAGGTCCCCCCTTCCCTGCCCTCTCCCACCTTCAGCCTCTCCCCAGCACCTGGAGCGTGGGAAACATCGGGAAGTGCCTCCAAACCCTCCGGGGATTCTCAGGAGCTCGGCCACCCCCAGCCAAGAGCTGCAACCTGCTCATTTGCATATCCTCGTCACCTCTAATTAAACCCTTGTGGTGCCCTCAGAGCCTCCCCACCTCCCTGCCAGCCCTGGAAATCCCCGGGATGCTCTGCCAGGATTTGGGAACGGTGGGAAGCCAAACAGGACGGGTCCCACACGCAGGGGTGGCCCTGGGGACGTTGGTTTTGCCTCCTTACCCTACAAATTCCTGCAGGTTTGTGGCCAAAGCCACGGGGCTATGGAGGGAAAACAGCTATTTTTGGGAGGGGTTGTGTCACTCCCGGCCCGGGGTGACAGCCCAGGATTTGGGGGTACACGAGGGATGGGGTCACTATTCCAGGTCTCGTGGTGAAATGGGAAAAATCCCTAATTTTGAGCTGTTCAGAGGAAAAAAGCTGCAGGTGGGGAGGTCACTGGGATCCTCCCGGGAGCCACCAGCCGTGGCAGTCCCTGCTGAGCTGGACACGGTCACCTGTCACCCCCAGGACCACCCGGGTGTCACCCACCCCCCACCTTCCCCACCGCCCCCCAGAAATGGGAGAGGGGAACAAAAAAAATCAGCCCCCAAGGAGGTTCCCCTGGGGGATTTCGGGAAGCCAGCGAGCCGGGAAAGCCCCAGGGGTTTCATCCCGTTTCTCTGAAGGGGTGGGATCAGCCAGGAAAACCCGGGAAAAGCAGGATCAGCCGGAGCAGTGTGGGCCGGGACACCCCACGGGCACGGGGATGGTGGCACCAAGGGCTGGGACCCCCGGGGGGGCTCTTGGGTGGGGGGACAGACCCCAAGGGTATTCCCAGGGAAGGGAGGGGTTGGGATCGGAGCTGAGGCGGGAGCTGAGGGGGTGGCAGAGGAGATGCCACCCCAGTGACACCCCCCAGAGAGGGACCAGAGGGGTGACAGGACACAAAAGGGTGACAGGGGACAAAAGGGTGACAGGGACCAGCAGGGTGACAGGGACGAGTAGAGTGACAAGGACCCAAAAGGGTGACAAGGACCCAAGAGGTGACAGGAACCAGCAGGTCCTGTGGTTGGGGACGATCCCGGGGGGGACCTTGGAGCAGGGACAGCCCCAGTGGGATGACAGGCAAGGTGACAGCGGGGTGTCCCCGAGCACCCCCGGTCTCTTCCCCTGTGTCACCCCAAAACAGGCGAGCCCGGTGGCTGTGACAGCGGGGACACCACCCTGTCGCTGTCACCACCGGGGACCCCCGCGGAGGGGGTCTCACACTCCGTGAGACTCCAAACCCCCTTCCCGGCTCTTCCCAAGGGGATTTGTAGCCCCCCTTTCCCCCCCGGGGACTTCCTGAGGCTTGGGGAGGTGTCTCCGCTGCCTGGGAATTGAGGTGGAAAACAACAAAAATGGAGTTTTTTGTAGGATTTCTGCAGCCGGCGCCACTCCCAGCGCGCCCAGTGGGGTGACTGGGAGGGACTGGGAGGGACTGGGAGGGGCTGGGAGGGGCGGGGCGAGCAGCCTGTCCTGCCTGGGGTGGTGACAATGGGGGGGTCACGGTGTCCCGTGGGTGCCGCGCGTGGGAGGGGGACACACACCAGCCCAGCCACCCCATGGGGGCGTGGGACCCTCAGCCGGAGGGATCCGGGGGTGCGGGGGGGGCCGAACTGGGAATGCCGGGCCCCCCTTCCCTCCCCTTCCCTCCCCTCCCAGTTCGCTGCCCCCGGGGCTCCCGGGAACTGGGACTGGGGATACTGGGGGGCTGGGGTGGCCCTGGGTGACACGGAGGGAACTGGGGAGTGGTCTGGGGACGAGCACCCCCACTAAACGGATCCCAAATGGATCCCAAATGGATCCCAAATGCCCTTTCAACCACGTTTAAAGCAGGACGGGGAGCTCGGGGGGGTCTCGGGGTGGGAAGGGGGGGGATATCAGCCCATATCCCAACAGAATCCTCCACTTTGCTCCCCAAACGTCTCCCCCAGCCCCACCCCCAACCAGGGGGTCCTGAGGAGGGACAGGGGAGCCTGTGAGGGAACCCCCCCCCTCAGTCCCCTCCCACAGCAGTTATGGGGGGGTTGAACTCTGGTCACCCCAAATCTCCCACGGGGCCACAAACAGCCTCGTGTCGTCCCCCCCCCTCGAGAAGTGTCACCCCAGTGTCCCCAGGGCCCCCTGGGGGGGGAAAAGGGCCACCAGAGGGACCCAGGACCCTGCACAGCTGGGGGGCCGCGTAACGGGGGGGGGTGACACGTGGGGGGCTCCACATCACGGGGGCTTCACATCGTGGGGGTGGGGTCGCACATCTGGGGTCAGACACCTGGGGGTGGCACATCTGGGGGTGGCACATCTGGGGTGGCACATCTGGCCCGGGGCGCGGCGGGGACGTTCTGCCGCCTCGTGGCCGCAGGTGGGAACTGCACCCCCCACACACAGTCCCTGCGTGGGGAAACTGAGGCACGACCCCAACCCTGCCCCCACCCCCGCTCCTCGGGGGGCACTCACAGCCCCCCTAAAACCTCCTCCGCTCGGTTCTGCTCGTATTTGTCCCTAAACACCCCCAAAGGGGTGTTCCTGTCCCACCTGCTCCGTGGGACAGGGCGGGGGGGCAGGATAGGAGGAGTACCTCCACGGGGGCCTCAGCTTGGCCCAAAAAACCTGGAAAAAGAAATGGAGAGAGAGTGTGAGCCTGGATGTGACAGCCCGCAGGGCTGGGGGGGGGCACAGACGGGACCCTCGGGGACACGGGGGACACGGCCCAGCCCACCCATCACCCACCCTCAGCCACGGCAGCACCGGAGGAGCCAAAGGCTCCAGATGAACCCAAACCCACCTCGCCGTGCCGGGAGAGGGGGACCAGGGGGTCACCCCCATCCCACGGACACGACCCCCGGCCACCCAGAGCCCCCAGAGCCCCTCAGAGCCCCCAGCCAGGGTGACCCCGCGGCTCTGGGGGGTGGTGACCCCTCCCTTGCCCCCCCAAATCCCGGCCCCTCACCCCGGATCCGGCCCGTTCCTGGGAGGATTCTCCCGGCAGAGCCAGTTTTGGGGTGAGCCCGGGGTTGCCCCGGGGCGAGGCCGCAGAGTCCTGCGGGGAACAGGTTTGGGTGTTGCCCCGCGGGACGTCACCGGCACCCAGCCCCGGGGTGGGGGAACCTCGGCCTGGGGGTCACCGGCCCTTCCCGGTTTCTCCCGAGGCCACCACGCCCCCCCCACGCCGCAGGGTGGGGGGCCCGGGCTGACGGGAGGGGTGGTGGCCGTGCCAGGCGGCTCCGTCCCCTCCTCGGCCCCCCCTCCCCGCCCCGCGCGGTGACGAGAGGGCAAAGAGCAGGTGGGTGCGGTGTCGGCGACAATCCCTGTCCCCCGCCCGTGTCACAAGCGCAGCCCGGGGCAGGAGCGGCGGAGCAGGGGTCGCGGTGAGCGGGGACACCCCCCGGGCAGGGACCCCCACCCGGGGACAGGGTGGGGGGCGGCTCCGAACCCTGGGAGACCCCCTCGGGGCAAGGATGGGGGCGGGGGGGCTGCGGATGGGGGGGACAAGGGTCTGGTGGCCGCCGGGGCCGTGGGACTGTCCGAGGGAGCGCGTGGAGTGTCCCCCCCGCGGTTGGGGACACAAGGGGGTGACACAGGTGCCCACCCCGGGATCCCGTAACAGGATCGAGACGCCCTCGCTGCCCCCCGGGCAAGATGGGAGACCCCTTCGGCCGCTGGAGCAGCCCCTCGGCCCGGTGAGCAGCCTGTGGTGTTATCGGGGGGTCCCCACTCGGGGAGGGTGGCACGGGGGTGCAAAGGTCCCTTTGTCCATCCAGGAGCGACTACGACGACAGGTCCTCGTTCCGACCTTCCAACACCTTCGCCCGGCCCAGCGGGAAAAGCATCTACAGTGAGTGGGGGCTGCACCCCAAACCCCCTCCCCAAAATCCCACACCCCCGCTGTGTCCCCAGCCTGTCCCTGTCCCCTCACCCCCCCTGTCCCCACAGACCAGCGCAAGGACTACGGGCAGACCCTGCTCAAACCTCAGAACGACTTCCAGCACCACGTGGAGGTGGGAGCCCCTGAAGCCCCCTAACCCCCCTGAGCCTCCCTGAGCCCCCAAGCTGCCCGAGACCCCAAAGCTGCTCTGAGCCCCCCCAAAGCTGCTCGAGCCCCCTCAAAGCTGCCTGAGCCCTCAAAGCGCCCCCAAAGCTGCCGAGCCCTCCAAAGCTGCCCGAGCCCTCCAAAGCTGCCCGAGCCCCTCAAAGCTACCGAGCCCCCAGAGCTTCCCGAGCCCTCCAGAGCTTCCCGAGTCCCCCAAAGCTGCCTGGGCCCCCTAAGCTGCCCTGAGCCCCCTCAAAACCTCCCCTAACCCCTACAAAACTGCCTGAGCCCCTAAAAGCTTCCGAGCCCCCTCAAAGCTGCCCTGAGCCCCCTTAAGCCTGCCCTGAGCCCCCCCAAGCTGCCCTGAGCCCCTCAAACCGCCCCAAGCCCCCCAGTCTTGCTGGGATGTTCCTGTGTCACCGTGTCTCCCTCTCACACGGTGTCCCCCCCGTGTCACCATGTCCCCCCGTGTCACCGTGTCCCCCGTGTCACCGTGAACCCCTGCGTCACTGTGTCCCCCCCGTGTCACCATTTCCTCCCCGTGTCACCATTTCCTCCCCGTGTCACCGTGTCCCCCCCAGCACCTGCTGACGGTGCGCCTGGAGCGGGATTTGCGCAGCCCCGAGGATTGTTTGGGGCGGCTGAAGGCGTTGGAGGCGCAGGGGAGGATTTGGGGACAGGACGTGATCCTGCAGGTCAAGGACCAGCAGCTGGTGCTGAGCGATGTGGAGAGCAAGGTACCCCCCGGCCAGGGCACCCCCAAAGCCCGCCCCCCCCCCGGGTATGGGATCTCCTGGCTATGGGGATCCCATAAACCTCGGTATCCCCTGGATATGGGATATCCCGGCTATGGGACCCCACAAAATCTGGTACCCCCTGAACCCAGGTGCCCCCTGGCCATGGTACCTCCTATAACCCCACGACCCACCCCCCTGGCACCCCTATAACACGGTCACCCCCCATGTCCCTGCCACCCTCCAACCCTGGCACCCCTACAAGCTGGCACCCCTATAACCCCAATACCCCAACCCTGGCACCCCTATAACCCCAATACCCAATCCTTGCACCCCTATAACCTCAATACTCCAAACCTGCCACCCCATAACCCAAATACCCCATCTCTGACACCCCAATAATTCCAATACCCCAATCCTGACACCCCTATAACCCAAATATCCCAACCCTGACACCCCTATAACCCCAATACCCCAACCCTGACACCCCTATAACCCCAATACCTCAATCCTGGCACTCCTATAACCCAAATATCACAGCCCTGCCACCCCAATAATCCCAATACCCAGTCCTGACACCCCTATAACCCCAATACCCCAACCCTGACACCCCAAATAGTGCCAATATCCCAACCCTGACACCCCCATAAGCCAAACACCCAACCCTGACACCCCAATAACCCCAATACCCCCAGTCTGAGCACCCACAACCCCCACCGGACATCCCCCAAACCCCCTTATCCCCCAACACCCTCCCATCACCCCCTTAACCCTTTAACACCCCCGTCCCATTCCCGATCCCCCAATGCCCCCCACGCCCCCTCACCCCTTTCCTGGGGCCATTCCTTGGGGGTGGGGAGGGGGCTCTGAGCCCCTCGTGTGTTCCCCCTCCTCCCACCCCCATCCAGGAGGAGCTGGAGTCATTCCCGCTGGGAAGCGTCCAGGGCTGCACGGCCGGGCTGGAGAACGCGGTGCTGGCCGTGAGCGTGCAGGAGTGGAGCCCCCGGGACCACCGTCCTGCTCTTCCAGTGCGAGAGACCCGGGGTGAGCCCCGGGGGGCAGGATCGGAGGGGAACCCCAGGATGGGGGGCAGGGTGGGGGCGTGAGCCCTCAGGGGGCAGATGGGGAAGCCCCGGGCTGCGGGGTTGATGGAGCAGATGGGAAGCCCCCGAGCTGGGGGTTGATGGGGGGGTTGTTCCAGGCAGAGGCGCTGAGGACCAGCCTGGAGAAGGTGCTGCGGCAGCGCAAGGAGGAGCAGAGGGGACACCCCGGCTACAGGTGAGGGGAGGGGGAGGGTCGTGACTCTTGGTTTCCCACCAGAATTTCCCCCTCCTCTCCCTGGGGGAGATGATGACCCGCTGTCCCCCCTCCCTGTGGGTGCAGGAGGGGGGCTCCTTTTGCCCAGCACCCCAGGACAGGGTTCAGCCCCCATCCTACCCCCCTCACCCCATCCACGGGCTCAGCCCCCCCATGGGGCACAGACCCCCCAAATTTCCCTCCACCCTTGGGCTCATCCCCTTCCCACCCCTCCCCCACACCCCGTGCCCCCTGCACCCCGTGCCCCCTCACCCACCCCTGCCCCCTCTGTCCCAGGAGCAGCCCGGACGTGCCGCCGAGCCGGCCCCCGTGCAGGGGCTCGGAGCCCCGGGCCCGATTTCCACGTGCCCCCCCGCGTGGGCCGCCCCCAGCGTGGGCCGCCCCCAGCGTGGGCTGCCCCGCCAGGACTACAGTGAGTCCCGTGGGGTGTGTGTGTGTGGATCCTCGTGCCTGGGGGTCCCCCACGAGCAGGGGTGACCCTGGGGGTGACGCTGGAGCCCCTCTAGTGTCCCCAGGTGCCCTGGACCCCCAGATGCTCGGCCCAGCCCCAGCCCAGCCCATGTCCGAGGTGGACCGAGACGTTGTAAGTTCCACCCGTGCCCACCTCTCCTCCGCGGGTGGGACTGGACCTCCCCAGACCCTCCCCAGCACCCACCGGGACCTCCCGCACCCACAGGAGGTTCTGAACCACGTCCTGAGGGACGTGGAGCTCTTCGTGGCCCAGCTGAGGATGTCCCTGGGCTCCCTCAGCCAGAAGAAGAAGAAGAAGAAGAAGAAGAACCCGGGTAGGAGGGAGGGAGCGGCCGTGGGGCTGGGGGTGGAGTGGAGGTCCGGAGGGCAATCCCGGTGCCAGTGCCCCGTGTGTGCCCCCAGCGCTGCCCCAAGGAGGAGTTCACGGATTTCTTCCAGAAGGTGAAATACGCCTGAACCTCTTGGTAAGTGCAGAGGGGAGGTGGAAACGCTGAGTGGGACCCTCGGGGCTGGGGAGGCTGGGTAGGAATGGGGTGTGGAATGGGGGATGTGAGGGGATGTGGAGGGGGTGGGGATGGGGGATGTAGGATGGGGGATATGGGATGGGGGATGTAGGGGATGGGGGATGAGGGGATGGGGATGTGTGAGAATGGGGACGTGAGGGATGGGGTTGGGGGGACTGGGGCTCTGGGGAGGGGGCTGCAGTGATGGGGGGTTGTGGGGGGACAGGGGAGGCTGCTGTGTGAGGAAAACGGGGGTTCCGTGGGGACACCCCTTTTCCCCCACCACCCCTCCCCGCAGGGCCGGACCCACCGGCACGTGCAGGACCCCAACCCCGCCGAGCTGCTGCGGCTCCTCTTCTCAGCCCTGACCTTCGTGAGTGCCCCCAGAACCGGGATTATCCCCAAAACCGGGACACCCCAAACAGTCACCCAGGACACTCCCAAAACCGCGGTCACCTCCAAAACCCCCCAAACCGGGATCAACCCCAAAACTGGGACCACCCCCAGAACCGGGACACCCCCAAAACCAGGATCACCTCCAAACCCCACAAAACCGAGATCACCCCCAAACCGGGGATCACCCCCAAAACTGGGATCACCCTCAAAACTGGGTCCACCATCTCGAAGCCAGCCCATCCCCCATAATTACGCCCACCCTCCCAAACTGCTCCTACCCCTCAAAACCGGGCCCATCCCCCCAAAATCTCTCCCACTCCCAAAACCGGTTCCACCCCGAAACCACGCCCACCCCCTAAGCTGCTCCCACCCCAAAAATCTCTCCCAGCTCCCCCAAAACCGGGACTGCGCCCCAAAACGAGTGTGCAGCGTGGGGTCCGCCCCCACCCCCATCCGGGGGCTGTTTTGAGGGTGCATTTTTTGAGAGGTGCCGCTCCATCCCCACCCCCACCCCCCAGGTGCTGTCCCAGTGCCCCAGCCCCGGCCTGGCCCCCTCGGTGGAGTCCCCGCTGCTGCTGCCGGAGGCGCTGGAATTCCTGGAGCAGACCCTGGGAGATGACGATTACGGCACCTGGAAGAGCCTCGGCACCGCTTGGAACAGGGCCAGGTGTGGTCCAGCCCCCTCCCAGCATCGAGGGAAGTGGGGAGGTCTGGATTTGATGGGGGGGGTGTCACAGCACCCACCCTGTCGTGTCCCCCCTCCCACGGTGCTTGTAGGGCCGAGTACCCCAACGCCGCCCTGGTGCCCGGCTACATCCCGGTGTTCTCGGATGGGTGGCTGCCCCCCCCGCTGGAGCAGGAGCGGCACGGGGGACTCCAGGACCCCCCAGCCCCCTCCCCAGGTCCCTCAGCTCTCCCGCGCCCCCATTCCTGCCCGCGCCCCGCTGCCGCCGCGTGGAGGACCACCCCCACGGGTAAGTGCCCCCCAGGCCCCGAGGGGTGCTGAGGGTGGGGGCAGGGTTTGCACCCCCATCCCCCTCGGGTGATGACCCGCCCCCTCCCCTATTTGCAGCCCCCAGACCCTGCCCAGGGGCTGTTCCGAGCCCTCTACGACTTCCAGGCTCGGAATTCCCAGGAGTTGAGTGTCAGGAAGGGGGACAAGCTGCAGGTACAGCGCGGGGGGGGGTGTGTCCCCTCTACGGGAGTGTGGGGAGGGACGGAGTGGGGACCCCTGGCGTTCCGAACCCCCACCCTGTCCCCCTGTGCCCCCAGGTCCTGAGCCAGCAGAAGAAGTGGTGGCTGGTGCAGGACGAGCGCGGGGACCGGGGACACGTCCCCGGCAACATCCTGGAGCCCCTCCCGGGGCCGGAGCGCAGCCCCAGCGCCGGCCAGGTGGGCGTCGCCCCCGTCCCCTGCTCTCCCCGGGCCCCCCACCAGGAGGGGGTGGCCGGGAGATATCCCATTATCACCCCCCCTCTCTCAGGACAGCCCCCCCACCCTGCGCCCCGACTCGTCTCCGGCGGAGGTGACGGCCTGGCTGACGGACAAGGGCTTCTCGCGGCTGTAGGTGGTCCCGTGAGCCCCCAGACTCCTGCTGGGTCTATTTGGTTGGGGGGGACACGAGCCCGGCTCACCCCTGTGCCCCCCCCCTCCCCATCCAGCACGGTGCGGACCCTGGGGGTGCTGCGGGGGCAGGAGCTGCTGCAGATGAGCCCCGAGGAGCTGCGGGGCGTCTGCCCCGAGGAGTGGAGGAGGGTCCTCTTCAAGCTGTCGGCCGCCAGGACATCCCTGGGGGTGAGGGACCACCCCCAGCCCTGAGCCCCCTCCCAAGCCCGGGCTGGCCATGGGGACCCCTCTCCTTGCACTCCCCCTCCCCCCATCCCGGGGCTCTCGGACCCCCAGCCCTGCACCCCTCCCCACTTCAGGCCTGTCCTTGGGGGGTGAGGGACTCGAGACTGCCCCTGAGGGCAGAGACCCCCACCCCGAGCCCTCTCCCCACTCCCGGGCTGGCACTGGGGATGTAGGACCCCCACCTTGCACCCTCTCCCCACCCATCCCCGGAGCTGGCTTTGAGGGTCAGGGACCTCCATCCCGCAGCCCCTCCCCATTCCGGGGGTCCCGGATCCATCCCGCAGCCCTCCCCATCCCGGGGGAGTCTCAGGGGCTCTCAAACCCCCAGATCGCTCCCCCTCCCATTCCGGGGTCCCGGATCCCCATCACCCCCACCCCAGCCCGGGAGAGTCTCGGGGGCTCTCGGACCCCCACCCTGCTCCCCTTCCCCACCCCCGGGGCTTCCCCACGACCCCTCCGCGCCTCTCCCACCCCGCTCTCCGCAGGTCTGAACCACCGAGGCCACTCGGATGTCCCCGCCCTGTCCCCAGCACGCGCCTCCGCGGACGGAGCCCCCCAGGACCTCCTCACCCACCCCCGCCCCAAAGACAAAGAAACGCTCCTCGGTGGCCGAGGACACGCGATCCCCACAGCCACCCGTGACAAACGCCTGCTGGGACCCCTCGAGGCACCAGGGGGCTCTTGGGGACCAACCCGGCCCCCCTCGGGAAGAGGAGGGCAGGACCTCCTTCGGGGTGCAGAGGCTGTGGAGTGATTGTGCACCCCAAAATGTGTGAAAAATAAAAAGAGTGACAGAAATGGGGTGTGCGGCGGGGGGAACCCCGGAGCGTGGGGGGACACGGGGGGGAACGAGGCGGGGGAGGTCTGGGTGGGGACAAGAACAGAGCAGGGAGGGGGACGAGGGGACAGGGAAGGGAGGGGACAAGGACACGGCAAGGGGGGGGACAAGGATGAAGAAAGGAGGGGGACAAGGACAGGGCAGAGAGGGGGAGAGGGCAGGGAGGGGCACACGGCCCCTCACCCCCTCAGACACCCCCCCGTGTCCCCACCCTGGGAAGGGAGGGGGTGATGCCACCCCCACCCGGGACCGGTGGCACGAAGGGCCCCAGGGGACAGCGCTGTCCCCACGTCCCCAGCCCACCCCGCTCAGCGCCCTGCGCGGGTGGCAGGACCCCAATCACCCCCCTCCCCGCCTCATCACCCAGCCTTTGTGAGCGCGGCCTCATTAGCGCTCATTAGGAATGTGCTAATGAGGGGGGGGCGGGGCCCCTGTCCTGGGGTCCCCGAGGACAGTGCAGGGCTCAGCCCGGGCCCCCCAAACCAGCCAGGGAAGGGGGTGGGTGACACCCCGTGGGGCAGAGACACCCCCTCACCCCACACCCACCTCCTCCCACCACCCGTGGGACCACTCCAGTGTCCCCCAGTGCCACAACACGGGGGGGGCTCAGGGTGCCACTTCTACAGCTCTTTATTTAATCTTGGGGGGCTTCACGCCGGCGGGGCCGATCCCCCTCCTCAGGATGGGGGAGTCTGGGGGGGCCGGGACAGGACAGGACACCACCCCTCCCCCTCCTCCTGCTCTCCTGGTCCCTACACCTTCTTGTTGCCCCACTTGGCCATCTTGTTGTTGATGGGCATCTTCTGGAACCGCGGGGACTTCATGTAGGCAGCCACCTTCTCCAGGGCCTGGGGGGATGAGGGGGGTAAGGAGGGGCGTCAGGGACCCCCCCACCGCGGCACCACCCCCACCCAGGGGTACCCTTGGGGTGCAGACCCCCTCCAACTGCACTGGGGGCTCCCTGACACCCCAATTCCCACGGGGTCCCCCCTATTTTGGGGACTCTGCAACCTCCCCCTACCAAACTGCCTGAGGTGCCCCCTGTCCTGGGGGCTCTGTGACCCCCCCACCTCAAAGTCCAGGGTGCCCCCCCCTCACCCCAAAGCGCTCCATGAAGTCCCGGAGGTTCTGGAAGGGCTCCAGGCACTTGGGCTCGAAGATCCTGTTCTGATCCAGCACATCGAACATCAGGAAGTCCACGAAGGTCAGCTGGGGATGGAGGGGGGTACAAGGTGAGCCCACAGCCCCTCCCCCAGCTCCCCCCCACCCCCAGGGGGGTCCCAGTGCTACCTTGTCCCCTGCAAACCACTTTCTGTCGCCCAGGAAGTTGGAGAAGAGCTTCAGCTTCGCCGGGAGCTGCTCCAGGTACCCCGGCTTGAGCTTCTCCTGCGGGAGGAAGGGGTGAGGGGGCCCCCAGACCCTGCCCACGGGGGTCTGTACCCACTGGGGGGGTCCCTGATGCTGCAGGGGGGTCCCCCAGCCCGTGGGACACTCACAAAGTCGGGGCTGTAGCAAACCATGACGAGGCTCATGCGGAAATCCATGACCTGGTTCTCCAGCACGTCCACCCTGCGGATCTCCTCCTCCGACTCACCGCCTGTGGGGGCATGGCAGGGCTGGGGGGGCCAAACCGACCCCAAACCAACCCCAAACCGACCCCAAACCAACCCCAAACTGACCCCAAACCACCCCTGTCCTGACCCCAAACCAACCCCAACCACCCGTCCTGACCCCAAACCAGCCCCAACCACCCCATGCCCTGACCCCAAACCAACCCCAAACCGACCCCAAACCACCCCTGCCCTGACCCCAAACCAACCCCACCAACTCTGCCCTGACCCCAACCCTGCTCTAAACCCCAAACCAACCCCAACCTTCCTCCAACCCCAAACCATCCCATCCCAACCCTTCTCTATCTAACCCACCAACCCACCCACCACACCCCACCCCTACTCCAACCCCAACTGCAATCCAACCCTGACTGAAGCCCAATCCAACCCCAACCCAACCCCAACCCGATCCAACCCCAATCCAACCTCAACCCCAACTCAACCCCAATCCAACCCCAACCCAGTCCAACCCCAATCCAACCCCAATCCAACCCCAGCCCGATCCAACCCCAACCCCGATCCAATCCCAACCCCGATCCAATCCCAACCCCGATCCAATCCCAACCCCGATCCAATCCCAACCCCAATCCAACCCCAAGCCCGATCCAACCCCAACCGATTCAACCAACCCCGATCAACTAGCCCGATCCAACCCGATCCAACTCCCAACCCCAAACCCAACCCCAATCCAACCCCAATCCCAATCGAACCCCAACCCCAATCCAACCCCGATCCAACCCCAACCGGGATCCAACCCCAACCCCAATCCAACCCCAACCCCAATCCAATCCCAACCCCAATCCAATCCCAACCCCAAATCCAACCCTAATCCAACCCCAACCCCAATCCAACCCCAACCAACCTAATCCAATACCCAATCCAACCCCAATCCCGATCAACTCCCGATCCAACTCAACCGATCAACCCCAATCGATCCCACCTCGGGCAGCCCCGGCACTGACACAGGCGGTGCTTGCGGGCGATGTGCCGCAGGATCGCGTTGCTCTGCGTCAGCTTGACAGGGCCGTCGATGAAATAGGGCAGCTGAAACGGGGGGGACAGCAAGGACAGGGGTGAGGGGACACGGTGTGGGGACACTGGGGCATGGGGGTGAGGGGACATGGCCTGGGGACACCTGGGGGACACAGGGGGACAGGGGTGAGGGGACACCAGGGTGAGGGGACATGTGGGCACCAGGGGACACCAGGGCATGGGGACACCATGGTGTGGGGACACTGGTGTAGGCACCCCAGGGACACCGGGACCCAGGAACTCCAGGACATGGGGACACAGGGACCAAGGGATACAGAGACCCCAGGGACACAGGGACCCCAGGACATGAGGACCACAGGACACGGGGACACAGGGATATGGGGACCCAGGGACCCCAGGAGATGGGGACACAGGGACATGGGGACACAGGGAGATGGGGACACAGGGATATGAGGACTCAGGGACCCCAGGACATGGGGACACAGGGACCCCGCTCCCCACCCCCTTACATTGGGGAAGTCCAGCCCCAGCTTCTCCTTCTCGTTGATCCACTGGCTCTTGTCATAGTCGGGAGCTGAAGGGGGAGACAAAGGGGGGGTGGGTCACGTCCTGTCCCACCCCTCGAAGCCCCCGGAGCTCGAGGGAGGGGTGGGGAACCCCCCCAGACCCCCCCAGCCCCCTCACCTTCCCCGCAGCTGTAGAGCTTGTCCTCGTAGGGGGTCTCCGTGTACTCCAGGAGCAGGCGGATGGCGTGGGCCAGCTGGGGGGGGGGCGGTGAGACCACCCCAAAATCACCCCCCCCGTGGGCAACCCACCCCCAGCACTCCCAGGGAACCCCGGCGTGGGGGACCCCACAACACACGGCGGGACCCCGAAAGTAACTCCCCCACACCCTGTGAGGGCAGCAGGACCCCCAAAGAACCCCCAAAATGACCTGGAGGAACCCAAGAGCCCCCTAAAGAACAGAGGGACCCTCCCACAAACACAATGCCCCCAAAGAGCAGAGGGACCCCCACAGCCCCCGAGAAACGAGGCGGACCCCCGAAGACCTTCCGTAGCCTCCCAAAAGACCATGAGAATCCCCGAAGACCCCCTCGAAGCCCCCCCAAAACACGCGGGGGGCCCCCGAAAACCTCCCGCAGCCCCCCCCATAGAACAAAGGGACCCTCAGCCCCCCCAAAGGCCGGGGGTGGTCCCTGAGCTCCCTCTCCGTGCCGAGGTCCCCCCCAGGACCCCCCACTCACCCCGCGGATGTCCCAGTACCCCAACACCGCCATGGCCGCCACTCGTGACTGCGGACACGCCCACGCCACGTGACAGCCCCACGGCCACGCCCATGAGGGGCGGGGTTTGAGGGACGGGGCGGGGCGAGTGGAAGGGACCCCGGTCCGGCCCCCCCCCCCCTTGTCTTGGGGGGCTCTGCGACCCCCTCAGTTCCACGGGGACCCCCTGAACAGCGGGCTCGGCAGTTCCCCATCCCCACGGGACCCCCGTGTCCTGGGCACTCTGGGACCCCCACACTCCACGCATCCCCCTTATCCCGGGGGGGCCACGAATCCCTCTGTGCTCCCCCTCAAGCTGCAGGGGGGTCCCCCTTTCGACTCCCTAAGGAGGGGTCTCGTTATGCCGGGGGGGCACAGACACTCCACCCCATCACGTACATTGGGAAAGTCGAGCCCCAGTTTCTCCTTCTCGTTGGTCCAATCGCTCGGGTCAAAATCGGGGGTTGGGGGGGCAGGAGGGCAGAGCAATTGGAGGGGGGGGCTCCCCCAGACCCCCCACCTGCCCACTGGGGGCCCCCGGAGCCGCGTGTGCCCCCCCAGCCCGGCACGCCCTGGGCGGATCAGGGACGACGCTGCCCCCGGGAGGGGTCAAAGTCCGATTTTGGGGAGGTGTGGGTGTGCCCCCTCCCCGGGCTGCAGGACGGGGTTGGCGGGGGGGGGAAGAGGGACAGGTTGGAAACGGGGCCTCCCTCCCCACCCTTTTGTGGGTTTTTGACACGGCACAAAGCAGGGGGAGGGGTCCCAAGGTGTGGGGGCACATGGGGGGTCACAGCCCCCCCTCACCTGGGCCAGGGCGGTACTGGTCCTCCTGGTAGGGAGTGTCCGTGTACTCCAGCAGCAGGAGGATGGTGTGGGCCAGCTGGGGGACACACTCAGCGCCCACCTTTGGCACTCCCACAGCTCCCAGAACCCCCCAAAAGCGATGGTGATGCCCCCTCGCCCTGGGTGGGCTCCAGCTCAGCCCCCCCCGCAGCGCTGAGGCCCAGCCTCGAGAAGGTATGGGAGGAATGGGGGAAGTGAAGAATGAGGGGACATGGGGACACCAGGGAATACCAGGGCATGGGGACACTGGTGTGGGGACCCCCAGGACACAGGGCCCCCTGAATCAAAGAAATCCTTGACCGATATGTCGAGCACACTTTTATTAGGGCCGGGGAGATGCAGGGGTGGTTTGGGCCCCCCGTGCATTCCACCAAGAAAAGAAACACAACAGCTTTTTGTACATTGGAACGGTGAGATTTAAAAATAATCTCTCCTATTCACTCTTTACAAAGTCTGCCTTATCTAAATAAACATTTGGCTGCCGAACTCCTATTCCTGTCACTGTAGTTACATAAACTTTTATCATCCCAAACGGCTCAGGTTTCCCTCACCCCCTTTCTGTCTCCCTAGCCCTGCTACACGCTGAAAGTCCCGCGTTCCCTGACTGTCCCTTTTTGTTTACGGACGCTTTATCTTAACTGCCCGCAATTTAGGCAGCAACCTTCCTTAAAGTTGTAATTTCGCAAAGTCACACTGAACACAGCGAAATTCCAACATGAGAAAGAGTGGTTCTGTTGACTGCACTCGTGGAGCAGATCCTGAGTTACGATCGGGAACGACGGAGGGTTATAAATTGGTATGAAGGAGTTTGAATGGAGGGACGAAGTTTGAAAAAGGAGTGTAAGAGTATTTTCAGCAGTGACAACCACCCGGCCACGCCCCCTGAACGTCACACCCCCACGGCCACGCCCCTCACAGGGGCGGAGCTTGAGGGCTCGGGGCGGGGCGAGTGGAAGGGACCCCGGTCCGGGCACAACCCCCTTTGTCCTGAGGGCTCTGTGACCCCCCCATCCCCACGGGACCCCCTTGTCCTGAAGCCTCTGGGAACCCCCACACTCCACGGATCCCCCTTATCCCGGGGGGGGCCACGAATCCCTCTGTGCCCCCCCCTCAAGCTGCAGGGGGGTCCCCCTTTCGACTCCCTAAGGAGGGGTCTCGTTATGCTGGGGGGGCACAGACCACTCACGGGGTCTCCCTTATCCTGAGGGCGCAGAGAGAAGCCCCCCACCCCATCCCATAATCCAGGAGGGTCCAACAGCCCCCCACCCCCGCGGGGGTCACCCCAAAATGGGGGGTCCTCGCGGTCCTACAGTGAAGCCACAAATCAGACGGACAGGGGAGAGCCCCCCACGATTTATTCGCGGTGGAGTGAGCTGGGGGGCACAGAGTGAGTTGGGGGCATGGAGGGCTTGTGGGGGTCCTCCCCTCACTCCTTGGTGTTGCCCCACTTGGCTATGGGGTAGAAAACGGGTGTTTTGATGAACCGTGGGGTCTTCATGTAGGAAGAGACCTTGGGCAGGGCCTGGGGGGACACGAGGGGACATTGGGGAGACAGCAGGGACTGGGGGGGACAGGGACATGAGGAGAAAACAATGGGGACACGGGACAGGGCTGGAAACACCAGGGAGATGTGGTGAGAGGGATGGGGACAGGGGCAGGTGGGGACAGAGGAGATAGGGATAGGGACAAAGGGGACACAGGGATGGGGACAAAGAGGACACTGGGGTGCCCCGGGCTGTCCCCACGCTGTCCCGTCCCCCCTCACCTCGAAGCGCTGCAGGAAGCTGCTCAGGTTTCCCTGGAATTCGGGGCTGTTGGGCACAAACATGTAGAGCCGATCCAGCACATCGTATGCCACGAAGTCCACGAAGGTCAGCTGGGGGGGCACGGGGTGGTCAGACCCCATTGGTACCCCAGAACACCCCCCCAGAGCCCCCTGAACTCACCTTGTCCCCCGCGAACCAGGTGCGGGAGCCCAGGAAGCGCGAGAACTCCTGGAGCTTCTTGGGAAGCTGCTCCAGGTATCCCGCCTTCAGCTTCTCCTGCAGGGGGGACGGTTGGGGGGGCTGAAACACCCCCGGACCCCACACGCCCAGACCCCACAGAACACCCCCAGGCCCCACAGAACACAGGGCAGCACCCCGGGCAGACAGGGGGGAGTGGGAATGGGAATTGTGGATGAGAACAGGGGAACTGGGGATGGGAATGGGGGATGAGAAGAGGGGAAGGGGGTAAAGGGCGCACCCCAACAGAGCCCCCACGCCGTTGGTGGCTCGGTCCCCTTGTCCCACGTGGGGGGACAGCCCCGTGCACCCCCGCCCGGGGGTACTCACATAGTTGGGGTCGTAGCAAAGCCGGCAGAAGGCCTCCCTGACATCCATGAGCTGGTTTTCCAGCACATCCACGCGCTGCTTCTCCTGCTCCGTCTCGCCGCCTGCGGCACCGGGAGGCGTCACCTCCATCCCCATAAAAAGACCCCCGGGGACCCTGGCGGGTGCTGCGACCCCCCCCCCACTCACACAGGTTGTGCTTGCGGGCGATGTAGCGCAGGATCGCGTTGCTCTGGGTCAGCTTGACGGGCCCGTCGATGAGATACGGGAGCTGGGGGGGGTTCCGGAGGGGGGGTCAGCCCCGGCGATCCCCCCTCTCCCCGCGCCGCGCCCCTCCCGCCCCCCTCAATCACGTACATTGGGGAAGTCGAGCCCCAGTTTCTCCTTCTCGTTGGTCCAATCGCTCGGGGCAAAATCGGGGGCTGGGGGGGCAGGAGGGCAGAGCAATTGGAGGGGGGGCTCCCCCAGAACCCCCACCTGCTCACGGGGGGGCCCTGCTCTGCCCCCGGAGCCGCGTGTGCCCCCCCAGCCCTGGGCGGATCAGGGACGACGTTGCCCCCTGGAGGGGTCAAAGTCCGATTTGGGGGAGGGATTTGCCCCCCCCGAGCTGCAGGACGAAGTTGCGGGGTGGGGAGGAAGAGGCACAGGCTGGAAACGGGGCGTCTCTTCCCACTTCCGTGGGTTTTTGACACGGCACAAAGCAGGGGGAGGGGGTCTCGGGGTTTGGGGGGTTCACAGCCCCCCCCTCACCTGGGCCAGGGTGGTACTGGCGCTCCTGGTAGGGGGTGTCCGTGTACTCCAGCAGCAGGCGGATGGCGTGGGCCAGCTGGGGGGGACACACACGGCACCCACCTTTGGCACCTCCACAGTTCCCAAGACCCCCCAAAAGCCCCCGGGGACCTCCAGCACCACCACAGCCTCCAGGGAACCCCCGGCACTCCCACACCATGCTGGGACCCCCAGAACCACCACCACCCCCAACATCCACCCTGTGACACCCAGCACCCCCCCCCAGCACTCATCCTGAAACCCCCAGAACTCCGCAACACGCCCCCCTTCCTACGGCCCTCGGCACTGCCACACCGCCAGCACCCCCTCTGGGACACCAGGACCTCCCACCACCCCTTCTGAGAGCCCCAGAACCGCCACCCCCAGCCCCCTGTGCCCCCCGGCCCCACTCACCCCGCGGAAGTCCCAGTAGCCCAGTGTCACCACCATGGTGCCCCCCCGGCCGCGGCTCTGCGGGACTGTGCACGGACCCGGACGGACTGGGGACACCGGACAGGGATTGGGGGTTGGCCGAGCCCTCCCTGCCCCTCCCCCGGGGCCCTCCCCCTGTCCCTCCCCCCCGCGTCGCCGCTGCCAGGCGGGTTCCAGGGTGTTCTGCCGGGGCTCGGTGCCAGCGCTGGCCCCGCCACCCCTGCCCGGGACCCCGCCTCAAATCCCTCCCCGACCCCCCCTCGGCTCGGGGACCCCCTGAACCACAGCCTGAAGAGAAACAGCCCCCACTCCGTCCCTCAGTCCCCCCGAGTTCCTCCCCCCCTCCCCGAAACTCGGGCGTTTTTCTGGAAGAGTTTATTTTCCCTGCTGGGACGGGGTTGGGGGCTGGGGGATCGCTGGCGGAGCCCGGGGGGATCGGCGATGTCGGCAGGTCCCGTGGGGTCCCGGGTGTCTCAGTGTGTGCCCGGGGCGATGGTGATGCCCCCTCGTCCTGGGTGGGCTCCAGCTCAGTTCCCCCCGCAGCGCTGAGGCCCAGCCTGGAGAAGGTATGGGAGGAATGGGGGAAATGAGGAATGAGGGGACATGGGGACACCAGGGAATACCAGGGCATGGGGACACTGGCGTGGGGACCCCCAGGACACAGGGCCCCTTAAATCAAAGAAATCCTTGAACGATATGTCGAGCACACTTTTATTAGGGCCGGGGAGATGCAGGGTGGTTTGGGCCGCCCGTGCATTCCACCGAGAAAAGAAACACAACAGCTTTTTGTACATTAGAAGGAGTGAAATTCAAAATTATCTCTCCTATTCACTCTTTACAAAGTCTGCCTTATCTAAATAAACATTTGGCTGTCTAACTCCTACTCCTATTACTGTAGTTACATAAACTTTTATCATTCCAAATGGCTCAGGTTTCCCTCACCCCCTTTCTGTCTCCCTAGCCCTGCTACACGCTGAAAGTCCCGCGTTCCCTGACTGTCCCTTTTTGTTTACGGACGCTTTATCTTAATTGCCCGCAATTTAGGCAGCAACCTTCCTTAAAGCTGTTACAATTTCGCAAAGTCACACTGAACACAGCGAAATTTTACGAAAATGAGAAGGACTCGTTCTGTAAATGCACTCGTGGAGCAGATCCTGAGTTACGATCGGGAACGACGGAGCGGTATAAATTAGCGTGAAGGAGTTTGAACAGAATGATTAAGTTTGGAAAAGGAGTGTAAGAGTATTTTCAGCAGTGACAACCACCCGGCCACGCCCCCGGCACGTGCAAACATCGAGGCCACGCCCCCGACGTGCAGCCCCGCGGCCACGCCCATGACGAGGGCGGAGCTTGAGGGGGCGGGGCGAGTGGAAGGGACCCCGGTCCGGGCACAACCCCCTTTGTCCTGAGGGCTCTGCGACCCCCCCATCCACACGGGACCCCCTTGTCCTGGCGCCTCTGGGACCCCCACACTCCATGGGGTCCCCCTTATCCCGGGGGGCCACGAATCCCTCTGTGCCCCCCTCAAGCTGCAGGGGGTCCCCCTTTTGACTCCCTAAGGAGGGGTCTCGTTATGCTGGGGGCACAGACACTCAGGGGGTCTCCCTTATCCTGGGGGTGCAGAGAGAAGCCCCCCCATCCCATAATCCAGGAGGGTCCAACAGCCCCCCCACCCCCGCGGGGGTCACCCCACAAACAGGGGGTCCTCGCGGTCCTACAGTGCTGGCAGTGCTGGGGAGGCTATAAGAACCTCCAGGAGAACTACTCGCCATTTGCTGCTCAGGCTTGACTCTTCCTCAGAACCAACTAAGTGTGAGTGGGAGGGGTGGTCAGGCTCGTTAGCAAGTGCTGGGGAGGCTATATAAGAACCTCCAGGAGAACTACTCAGCCATTTGCTGCTCAGGCTTGACTCTTCCTCAGAACCAATTAAGGTGAGTGAGGGGTGGGTCAGGCCTCGTTAGCAGCGCTGGGGAGGCTATAAGAACCTCCAGGAGAACTACTCGGCCATTTGCTGCTCAGGCTTGACTCTTCCTCAGAACCAATTAAGGTGAGTGAGGGGTGGGTCAGGCTCGTTAGCAAGTGCTGGGGAGGCTATATAAGAACTCTCCAGGAGCGTGAGCGGTTCGCTCACGCACCCCCACAGGAGTAGACTAACAGGGTGTGGCACAACAATTTCAAGGCATTTCAAGCCTGCAGGGCACAACCAGCTCCCTTTTCTTGTAGGTGAGTGTGCTTTCTAAAGCTAACAATGGTTTCCAGGAAAACAAAACTGTTACTGCTGTTAATACTAGGAGTGTGTTTGCTCAGACACTCCCTCGAAGAAGGATGCAGCCACCCA